AGCTGATGTAGGTGAATGTGTCCTATGTGCCGGGGATAGTCCAATCAAGAGTTAAAGGACTTATTTATAGTTGTAATATAAACAAGCTAGCGAGTCACTAGCTGATGTAGGTGAATGCGTCCTATGTGCCGGGGATAGTCCAATCAAGGGTTAAAAGCTAGCGAGTCTAGAAGTGACAAAAGGAACCATTAACTCGAAACCTCGTTAACTGACCCGAACAAAACACCATTGATTTGATGTGTTAAGGTGGCTGACTACTGTTGAACGTTCGGTTTGAGCCCACGATGTGCGCGCGCTCAAAACCCGATGAATAATTTTCACGATTTTATTGAAGAACTATACACGTTTTGAACTTCAAGAGGGCAAAACCCTCAAATTTTGCACGAGTTTTTTGTTATTTTCCGGAATAACAGGCAATATCCAATTATTTAAGTTGAAGACAATTCTGTTTATCAGAACCATGTAAGTAATCGTTCTGTTTGTTTTGTGCTCAATTTTTACGATAACTTACACACCGTAGAACCTGAACAAAAAAAGTTTTTCCATTGTCTACAATAGTTTATTWAAACAACTTTTATCAGTAYTTTATAAATATAGTGTAAGTTACGTGTTCGGAGAAAATTACTCATGTTTCTTCCTTAGTTTCGGTTTTATAGTTTTTTTGTACAGAGCTTAAATTGTACAAACGCATGTCATTCCTGAGTCGATATATCTCAAAAACAAGCTCGGGACACCCCATTTTTCTTTGCATTTTCATTGAAGGCTTTGCGATAATCAGCATTAAATTTCAGGCTAAAAAAGTTTCGATTATCATTATTCTGTTTACTATTTACCAAAGTAGTCAGCCACCCGTAATCGTATTTGTACAAATGGGTTTTCACTAATACACCTGTAGTATAGGTAGCATAGCCAATCAGAATGCAGTATAAATAATAGTCCACTAGTTTGTTTACAACTGGATGATTATCCTCGAATAAAAGCAATATATAGCGAGAATGTTCTTTATCATCAGAATGATAAACCCGCCGCACAGCCAAATAAAAATAATTATTATATTGATAAAGTTGTGCTTCTCAAACTCCGGCAGGTGTGCATGACTGAGGGTCGATTATGGTTTTAAATAAATTGCACATCTCTCTGTTACCCAATGACTAATGTATAGCACTTGTGATTTTAGCTGGATCCGGTCCTCTTATCCCTGTTGGAAATGCTCATCAAAGAAAATGTTATCAATTAACTTCACAGAAACAAGGAAAACCCCGACAAACAATGAATATAAACAGCAGGAATCTTGTAAAACGTTAGGAAATGCTTTAGTTGCTTCAATAGGACGACATTAAGTCTGCATTAACCATATATTGTGGGTGGGTCAATCAATCAGCGACTGCACCTAAGTTTTTTTTACGCAGAGAAGCACAACTAGATGTTTATATATTTATGTAACTATAATTAGTTTCAGGTTGAGTCAAAACTCAGTTTTTTCCCAAGAGTCAAGTGCAAAGCAACTTCCATAAACGTGATATTGACATTTTTGATAACAGGTTAGTGCACAACTTTCTCAGTCGCTAATAAATACTGAATTTTGGCACTGCCTAAAACCGAACCTCCCAGTACGATCTTATTTTAGCATGCGCGAATATCAAAAGTAGTGTAAGCAAAAAGGTCTATTTCAATTTTTTTTATTGGATTTCAGCTGAGACTCGTTTAGAGTTATATATATATTATATATGATGCAATATATATATAATATAATATAATATAATATAATAGATGATGATTAACCCCTTGCTATGACCAGCAGACTCAAAAATCTTATTGGCTTTCAACCGACGATGGATCTGATGGCTTTGAACTCTGATGGCTTTGAACGCATACTCAATCCTTTCCATCATAATGAAACAGACCTAAATATATATATTTTTCTTTATTTTGAGAGGGCATAGAGTAGGAATACAGCTGATGCTAGCTGTTTCGAAATCGTGTACGGCAGGGGAAGTAGAATAGTAATCAATCAAACATATTCTAGTCTAGAATAAAAACTGCACGAAAAGGCCTTGAACGTTAATCCACAATACACAACAGGAAGGCAGCTTAACGTGCTATCTTTTTAACGCAGTACTCTATAGGTTAGTTCTCATTCATATTTTCAATAATAGTAATTATATCTATATATGAACATGATTATCTCAGTCCTTTCTTTACATTCTGTTATATAGTACTATTCTTCAAACATCTAGTCTTTTTTCGTATCAACCATGATATATTTTGTAGTTGTTTTTTGACACTATTATCCACATCCTATTTTAGTCATTGTATTTCATTGGACGAATCAGATTTGTTTGCGGTGCTGACATGGCCTGCGCGTGTACGTGTTTGGTAGCCAGGTGATCTCTTTAATAGGCACGACATGCATGCAGTTTTGGTCATACATTGTTTCTTGTTTGTCAGCTCAGATGGGACACCAAGTTCACTGGTGGCTGCTTTTCATCGTTTTACTGTGTATTCATGAAGTGGATGCTGTACGAGTCCTTCTCCATGCTTGTCTTAATGGCGGCGTTGAAGATGATGTTCAGCAGGTTATCGTACAAGATCTAGACCTTGAACATTTACCTCACCCGAAATCAAGTGTCTGCTCTTTGTAAGTAGAGCTGAGATATCATTATAACTTTATAACTTTTTTATTTATAACGCGCCTTTCCTGGTGCTCAAAGCGCTGAACTACAAGATTATAAACAACAAGTTAAAATGAGACGTAGGAAAATATCATGCTATATATATATATATATATACACAAACTTGATTGCAGAAAGGTTGTACTATACATTTATATAAATACCTAATTTATTCAGTATATTTAATGATATGCAAAAGAGGGTTAAAAAAGTAAAATTGCAATATGCATCTCATTAGGTATTTGTATAAATGTATAAATGTATACTACAACGTTTTTGCAATCGAGTGTTGTTTTTTTTACATATATACAAGTATATCAAAAGTATATCAGAAATTATGGGATATCATCGCTGATATCTTTTTTTTCGGATTGCCTATCTCTAGGGCTTTCTGAAAAAAGTATCAGATATGGGATCCCATAATTCCTTATATATATTTGATATACAGTCAATGTCATTAACGTTGTCCTCTGAAAAAGGCATTTACACATTTATACATTTACACATTTAGATATTTAGACTAAAAGAAATATCACGTGTTTCTTCGAACGTTCTGGAATAAAACATACGCTGAAATACCATTCTCCATCTTATATCCTCACTAAATGGTCGGGGCATTCTGGATTTTCGATTCAAGAGTTGAATTTTACATTTAAAGTTCAGGCTGACGCAGACGAGGAAAGAATACATAATGAAACACGTGATATTTCTTTTAGTCTAAATGTCTAAATGTCTAAATGTCTTTTTTCGGTGGACAACGTTAATGACATTGACTGAAGTTTTTGTGTATATACAAAAGGATCATAATTTCTGCATATCGCTGTATATAATCTATACTTAATTAAAATCTATACTTAATTAAAATCTATACTTAATTAAAATCTATACTTAATTAAAATCTATACTTAATGAAAATAAGCTAACCTAAATAAATAAGTCTTAAGCTGTTCTTAAAGTATTCATAATGTTAATAGGAAGTAAATTCCAAATTTGTGGAGCACTAATCGAAAAGGCTCTCTTTCCGTATGTCTTAGGTTAAAACTATGGAGGAAGAACGAAGTGAATGAAAAGGCACATAAGGCGAAAACAGATTTCTAATATAACATGGTGCTAAATTGTTTAAAGCTTTATATGTAATAAGAGCTATCTTAATAGAATACGTTGCTTTACTTAACTCATTAATATGTTTGATATATACATTTATCATATAATTATCCATAAAACACTTTCCGAAAAACTGATAGTTTTCACATGTGAAAACAACATGTTATTTTCACATGTGAAAATATCGTTATCATGTGTATTTAAGCCATTAGTTTATAAACAAAAACTTTTTATAGTAATAAAAAGCTTGTTAAGTTGATTTTATGAATAATTATATAATAAACAGAATATTGCATGGGCGCTTGGAGATACGAAATTTATCTTCTCGTGTTGAAAATCTTTTCAACTCTCGAAGATGAATTTCGTATCTCCGCGCACCCATGTAATATCCTCTATTCAATGTTTAATAAATTAAAGATGTAAATGATTCAAGCAATCAAAATGAAAGGTAACTTGTGGGTGTGCGACATACATTTATTATTTTCCGATCAATAATATTCTAGATGAGAAAACAGATATAGGGCCGACTCACGATGATAGTTATGAGGATCAGTTTAGGATCTAACGAAGTGGAGGTAATCCCGATACCATTATTGAAATAATGCATCCAATAAATAAATCAAAGCAAAGTGTACCGACTTCACATACATTTTAATCCAAATCATTTTGGGAAGAAGATATGTCATTATATTTGATTGGTTATGTTTTTCATTTCAATCTACTTCACATTTGATAAACTGCTTTGCGCAGAGCGGACACGACCATGCAAATGTACAGATGTATATCTCACGCTGTCAGAACGACATGCCCTCAAGATATTTTCATCGGATATGAAAAAATTAGTTCTATCGACTTACTTCCGATAGCTTGAACACAAGGCTGAAACTACCTGAATTGTTTTTGTCATCAACACCAATCTTAGCGAACTGTTCTATAAATAAACCGATTAATGTACACGTTTTTTGACAAGTCATTCAGTTGATGGGAAATATAACGAAAGAGAGTCATCTAATACCCGCATATCGACCTTGAAGCTATAGTAAACAATACAAAAAGAGTAGTTGATGCAATAGTTAACGGTATATAGGAAAAAGCTTGATCAACATTCAGTCAGTCAAAGATATGGGGCTTTAATCAGTTTCAATGAGTAATAACAATAATAATAATATATACATTTTTTGGCACGCACCTCAAAATCTCGATGCGTTTACCATTCGAAAAATAAATAAATAAAAAAAAATGGAACGCTTCACGAATTTGCGTGTCATCCGTAGCTCTTGAATAGAACTGAACCCCGCTCTTGTATCTAGAACACACATCCAGCTACGTTTACAAACTTGATTAAGTGCAGTTTTGGCTATTTATTTTACTGGTAAATAAAAAGATATTGTATCCGCGGCACTGAGAGCTAGGCTAGATAATTTGTTCCATTGATATTGTCTGACAATATGCCATTCATATATATCAAGGCTCAATCATGTCAGTACTGATGACCTCAATATTCAATTAACATATTAGAGCCATTATTCTTTTAGTTGATGAATGCGTTTATATTTTGACGCTTTTTCTTCTGTTAGGGAAATATTCAACAGCAACACGAGTTCCATTCAAGATGGATTATTTGTTGATTTTACTGGTTCATTAACCCTGTAAGTAACGTATTCTTCGTTGGCACGTGGGGTATATCAGAAGCTATTGAATTAAATTATCAGCTCCTCTTTTCAGGAAACTGTTAGAACTTTCTTCAAAAACCTTTAGTTTTATAGCCCGGGTGGGCCAGGAAGGAAGGGTTAGAGCGGTGTTGGGCAATTGAAGTTAATAGTCCCGCCTCACACAGTAATTCCCTGCGCCATGTTGAAAGGTAGCTGTGCCTTTGCATCGACGCGAGAGAACTTGCAATGATAGATATATGTGAATAATTGTCCAAGGTGTTTAAAAAAATGTCTCTATCATTGTAAGCTCACTGTTCGTCTAGTTTCGATGGTTGCCTTTCAAGATGGCGCAGGGAACTGTAAAAGGGACCATTCTTAAAATGAACAATATAAACTGAATTATAATAACGGTATTTTTGTCCGCTTTTTCAGCTCGTTATACAATAATAATATTCACAACATATCAGCCAATGCTTTCCTAGGACTGACAGCTCTTCGAACACTGTAAGTAAAGTTTCATGTTATCTCACTGTCTGTATACTGTTAAATCCATCTTCCTCCCACTGCTTTTAATGTTGAATTAAGTGAAAGTTAATTCTTAAAAGGGTTCGGAAGTAACAAACATATTAAAATCAAAATAACAACTCTGATGTCATTCAGAATTTGCTAGATGTATAACTAACGACTGCACACATTGACCATAGTCGCGTACTCCTAGCCGTCCTTCTATACGGGCGATATATCACAGGTATACAAGCTAATACTATGGACCACATCTTGCCAGTTTTACGGATTTTACTTGTTGATAATCAGCTTTCAGCATAATGTAGCTTCAAGAGAAAATGAACTAAGAGAAGGAATCCTACCTATATAGCCTTGTAACCATCATGTGCACAGTTTGATGCTATTTTTAAACTTTGTTTTTCTGCACGCGCATTTACTGCGCGCGCTCTACGCTGTTTGCTTACGTTTTAGGGTTTTTTCGTTATTTCAACTCTGCCCTGAATATGAATGTGCACGTCGAAAGATTGGCAAATACGACAGGAAATTGAAGTAGTAATTTGTTCAACTTTTTGGAGTATTTTTACATTTATTTTCCAAAGCTTTCGACCTACATCGTCATCTTGAGGGCAGATGTAAACATTTGAACATAAGAAAAGCACAAGAAAACGTTAGCAAAAATAGATTCTAGAAATAGCATCAAAGTGTGCACATGATGGGGCACGGGGATTCCTTCTCTTAGTTCATATTCTCTTGGTAGCTTGTTTCACTTGGGTAGTCACTTCATCTATGTTTTGTTTTTCAAATGCACGGAAAATTAGCGTAAAGTGAGACATGCATTAAGGGACGGAAGACAAGAAAAACACTTCATATGTTTGTTGGTATTTATTCTTGCAGCAATCTTAGCATGAATCCAATTAAAGAGTGGCAAACATCAAAACTCATTAGTCATGTGCCTAATCTTACCACACTAGACCTGACTGGCACATCACCATGGTTACCAGATTATGGTATCTTGAGAGTAAAACAGCTTCGGACCGTCCAAGGTGTTAGCTGGGGTCAACACTGCTGGAACTGTTCACTCATCAAATCAAATACCTCCAGCCAACTTAAGCTGTATACTGAAGGTTCTACGAGATACATCAAAGGTTACGCATGCCGTACCATTACTACTACGGCATCAAAAATAGTTCAAGGTTTTGCAAACCAGGGTTTTTTAGGACAATGTGTGATTGAAAACCCAAAGTGCAGTCAGTCAGAGATGAAGGAATTTTTGAAGGCTCCTTGTCGCGATACAACTCTATCAGTGATGTACCTGCAGTTTGTTCTTGGTCCTTTAGCTATAGCTTTAAACTTAATAGTAATCATAACTACCATATGTTCCAAACGTCTCCATAACAACTTAGACATGGTACTAGTGTGTAATATCGGGGTTGGGGATCTGTTTAACGGCGTGTATTCCGTCCTGATCATATCTATTCATACATTCAAAACGTTTGACCAAATGTTGACATTTGCGCACAATTACTGCGCATCTATAGGGTTCTTCTGGGTTTTGGGAATATGTCTTGCTGTGGGCTTTGCATTTGTTCTAACGATAGAGCGATACAAATGTGTAGTGCGCACTCAACCACGTCACAGTAGAATGAGCCCCACCACCCTTCTGGTAGCGTCGGCTATCTGCTGGTTGTGGGCTCTAGCTGCAACAATCCTCCCTGTATTTGGTGTAGGTAGCTATTCCCTTAATACTTATTGTATATCAGTTTTTGCTGTCAAGTCTAATCCCCTTCAGTTTTATTACAGCACTACTGTGGCAGGACTATCAGGTCTCTTGTACCTCGCTACTATTCCTATATACATTAAAATGTACTTATTTGTACGGAGATCCAGCAAGAACATGCGAATACGCGCAGATATCGAGTTAGCCAAGAGGGTATTCAGTCTTGTGTCGACAAACATGTTGTTTTTTCTGCTTCCAGTCATTATATCGTTGATTTTCGCTAGCGTTAATCGCGAAACAAGCGCTATTTCACGAGAGGTGTCTGAAGTACTGAACTCGGCTTTCCCATTACTCTGTTTGACTTTGAATTCAGTTTTTAACCCACTTCTCTATGCGTTTAGGAGCAAGTTGTTCAGAACAGAGTTCGTCAGAATGTTATCTTCTCGTTGCTCCTTCAACGGGAGTGGTCACAAGACCCGCCCTACCAGCCTCAAACGGTATCCCGCACGAGTTGCCTATGTCGTACGTTCTCCAAATAATAGTACATCTCTAGTTACTCTTTGATATCTTTAAAGTTCGTTTAGCTCGAATACAGAGGCATTGACCGAATGATACATTTACGACTGGCACACTGGAGTCAAATATCAGAACGACATTTAAAAAGAGATGAGGTAGTGAAGTATGGAAAACAAAACGTACTGCAGCCAAAATAAAATCATCTACATTAACTATCCAACATATTTTCTTTTAGTTTCGTAAGGAGTGTCTAGTGGCTATTTTAGTATTCGGTCCATGTTACTTCTTCAATCTAACTTCAGGTCGGTCTTTGAGTGTTCCTTAGAACCGTGTATATTAATGTTGTCTTAATATAACACGTTCACTTTCAGTAGAAATATAATACTATTGCACTTGAGGAGCATAGCCCCGAGTCATTGGTTGTTGCAGCCCAAAATGTGGGAATCATCAGAATGGTGTGCAACCCTCACCCTTCTCTGATACCTTCGATTCGGCCAAAAAAAAGCGAAAGTTATTTAGATATTTTACTGTTAGGAATAAAAACAAGTACAATACTGATAATTTTATTTCTTGTTTGGGTCTTCTTAGTGAAAGTTATTTAGGCCTAGGGCAAACGTCGAACTTTCCATGCACCGARCTCATTAAAAACAATGGATATCAGGTGATAATGAGGCGGCATTCTTTGACGTAATTAAGTTCGGTGCATGGAAAGTTCGACATTTGCCCTAGGCCTTAGATATTTTTTCTGATTGGAATAAAACACAAGCGAATAAATACAAGTACAATACTGATAATTTTATTTCTTGTTTGGGTCTTCTAAGTGAAAGTTATTTAGATATTTTACTGATACAAGTGCAAGAATAAGTTGATTGATGTTTGTTTTTCTGATTACAAACAAAATGGTTTGATTACAAATGCATTAATTAACCCTTCACCAAGTATTATTTATTGACAAATCTATCTAGTAAATGTAAGATTGTACGAAAAAGACGCCGTTTGATAATCATGCTTTCACTGGTGTAGCGTATTTGTTGAACGAGAATTCACTGACGTGAAGACAACGATCCTGGCAGTCACATGTATTACTACAGTCAGGGCTCAAGAACTCCATTTTATTGTCGGTCCACACAGTACCCAACGCTTCAATTAGGTGATCCATCATCTCTTCGGAATGTCTTGGGGTTGGAGCGAACCTAAGTCTCTCTTCACCACGTGGGACAGTAGGATAGTTGATAGCCTGTACGTAGATGTTGTACTTGTTCATCAAGTCATTGGAGATCTGGGTACACTTGCTTGCATCACCAACCTACAATCATTCAATAAAAGACATGTTTCTTCAATTATAATATGAATGCTTCTATGAAAAGCTCGACAAGAAAACTTCATATTTTGATGATGCGGTTTAGGAAAAACCTGGTCGAGTTGACACTGCAGTGCATTGTGGGACGACTAGACGCCACCTTGGAAATGTTCCTTAATACGGTCCCACAATACGCTGCAACGGCAACTCGAGCCAGTTTCTCTTCAACCTCGGAATGTTTAATTATTATACAAACTGAAGGAGTTTCACCGTTACTTATGTAAAGATAGTTTATCTGATTTGATTATAACAGGCTATTACTCACATGAACTGGAACAATGTGGGACGGTGCATAGATAACAGGCAAGCCACGTTGTACCATTTTGTTCCTCAACCTCTTGACAACAGCTTGATGTTGACTGCGAAGTTCACGACCTTCTTCACTGCCAAGAATTTCAATGGACGTCCTTGCGGCATTGACAGTAACAGGAGGCAGAGAGGTGGTAAAGATAAACCCTGCTCCATAACTACGAATGGTGTCCACTAGAGCAGTGCTACCTGCGATGTACCCCCCTACAGCACCGAATGCCTTGCCAAGGGTGCCACTTATGATGTCCAGATCAGCTAACAAGCCGTCACGATCTGCCACTCCACCACCTTTATCACCGTACAAACCCACAGCATGGACCTTGAAAGGAATGGGAAAATGATTCTCGATTACCAGGATTACGGCTTATCATCGAGATCGTGCAATGTCACCTATTGCATGAAATTTCAAATATTGGTAAGAGTATACCGAAATTAATAAATAGGGAAACTTTGAAGCGGTTTTGATGAATAGCGCTGAAGTTTAATAGAGTCGGGTTCTTTATACAAGGCAATGTCAATATTTAGAATGTCACGCAATATGATTCGAGGACATGGACTTCTACGTTACAACACAAACAGCCGTTCTTATTGCACTTTCTCTTGTTTAGCCATAATTTACGGCTTATCATAAGTTGAAGTCGATATAACAATAATCATTAAAAAATAATAATAATAAATAAATAAAAATAATAATAGCAAAAGCGGGGTCACAAAATTCGCTCTGCAGGCGGGCATCATTTGATATGGAAGGTTATGTTATCACTCCGCGAAAGTACAACATGATTTATTTGCAAGCAAAGAGTGCCAAGTAGCGCTTAAAGTATTTAGTTATCAACCGGGCGAATCGTAAAGGATCAACATTTGATTATATTTTGTTTTGCTTTTCAATATAAAAAGGACTTGTGCTATCCTTCTTTTAAGAAAAAATAAATATATATTATCGCTATGTTTTACAGCGAAATGCATTAAGGATGGCACAATCCCGCAAGAATCCCTGGTCACCGTAATGTATTTATATTATCGCAAAATATTTACAAGCTAGACGGGGCACAATACCAAAGTGTCAGTTGCAATAATCACTGATAAACCTGCAATGAGACTACTGAACATTCAGGCTCAAATCATGCAACGAGAACAACACATTCAGACTGTTCAAAACGTGACCATCATTCACGTGCAGCGAGCTACGCAACGGTTCAACAAAACCAGGACAAAACCTATTGCTAATAGGCTTAACATTATCACAGTGACAGTGTTAAAAAACATTACGTCCATCTATTCTATGTTGTTTAATAGGAATAAATGTTCTTTACCTCATCAACAAAAGTGATGGCACCATACTTGTGTGCTACATCACACAGCTCCTTCAAAGGGCAGATATCCCCTGTCATAGAATGCACCGTCTCGAAGGCAACTACTTTGGGGGCAGAAGGATCGGCTTCGCGGAGTAACTGCTCAAGATGTTTAGGATCATTGTGGCGGAAGATCAATTTCTTGGCACCACTGTTACGAATACCTTGGATCATAGATGCATGGTTACCAGCATCCGAGAAATAAATGCAACCTAGACAGCAAGGAATACAAAGGTCTGTCAGCAAGCCATCACTAACACTGCATTGTAATATCTAATAAAAGTCGGTAGGGTCTTAGGTTCGACTCCTGGACTCGGCATCCCATTTGCAAATGAAAATGCAAAACCTTGACTTATAGTGAGTATACCTTGACTTAGATCAATCTAGTGGTTGTTTCAGGGTTTGATCAGTGACTTAGATCAAGATATGTGAAGAAACATACCTGGCAGAAGCTTTCCCAGTGTATAGAGGGTGGTATCATTAGCCACATAACAGGATGTAAATAGCAGAGCTGCTTGTTTGTCATGTAGCTTTGCAAGCTGTGCCTCTAGTGCTTCGTGGTAGCTACTAGTACCCGAGATATTACGTGTACCACCAGACCCAACACCGTGTTCGTTCAGCGTCTCCCTATCAATTATTAAAATAGTACAATTGAATTGTTTGTACAGTCACACGAGGTGAATGGGTGTGCGAGCAGTAGCGGTTCATACCTGGCACTCTTGAGTACTTCAGGGTGTCTACTCATCCCCAGATAATCATTACTGCACCAAACAGTAATATCCCTGAAGTCCATAGTCTCACTCAACTCCTTGGCATGCGGGAATACAGGAGCTAAACGGTTGACTTTCTTGAAGATCCGGTATGTGCTGTCAGCCTTTTTCTTTTCTATCTCTTCGTCAAAGAATTTTTCATAATCAAAAATATTATCGACGCTTTTAGGCTGAGCTGTTAAAAAAATTAAAAACGTTGCCAGTTATCAATATAACTATGTCATATATTGCATCAAGTTTGTCAGTGGGATACAACAGGCATTATCCTGATAGGGCTTGGGGTTATTGAGATAACGAGATCCACTGATTTTGATCCCAGCACTTTATTGGGCGTTACTTGTGGAAGGTCGCGTGTTCACTGACGTGAAACGACTAAAGGCCACTTGCCATGTTTTATTGATGTTACATAACCATTTAGTTTTACCTTAAAACAAAACATAGGTGATTATCATCGAACTTTTTCCCCCTTTTCGTGCATAAAAATGGACTGATCTATCATTAAGCAAGATATGTTATTCGTGTTTATACCTGGAAACCGAGAATACGGCAACACAAAAAAACCTTTATACAACTAATGGCTTTATAGTCTGCGGGGACCAACTCACCAGTGTCTGAAGCAATAGTTGTCATACAACGAGCTGGGTTGTAAGATTGATACTGAAGCTTGTTCATAGCTCCAAATCCAATACCCATGTTTTTGACGGCATTTAAGGCATCGGACGTGAAGGCTCCTTTAGAAAACGAGTTCTAATTAGTAAATGATAAATACGGTAGTTATGAGGTTTATTATATTTTACCTTTATTGGTTGGTAGATGATGTTTCTGCCCAACATCGTCCTGCAAGTCAAAAGTTGGTCCATCCTTGTTGTTGAACTTGTTTGTGCCAACACTGCTCATGAACGGGCATTTGCCAACATCTAAAAGAACAATCACTCCATGAATATAGCTACTAGTATAAGATAGACTAATCCCGTTGTATTAAGCCGCCTGGGTATCTGAACCATACACAATGTCTGATTGGAATTCATGCTTAATAATTAATTACAAAAAAAGTGCAAAAAAGCTCAAAAACCCGCAGCTAACGGTTTCGCGTGCATTTTTGTGCAATAGTAAGAAGAAGGAGTACAACTGATTCTAGAAAAAGAGGGTGCAACAATGAACAGCTTTTTCCCTGAATTCGATTACATAATCGACGGTTACACGAAAGAAAACTGTGAAAAAAAACCTAAACAATGTTGATGTTGAATGAAACTAACTTCTTGAAAACAAGGCTAGTCTTTTGAGATAGGACTGGTTCTTCGGTACTGAAAGCTTCATCTCTGTTTCATTCCTACGTCCTGAGACAGTGCTAAGTTAAGCGTGGATGCTACGAACCAACCAAGACTAGTATTGCATTGAAAGGTATTACATAATACCCCAGCAGACTGTCTACTACAATGGGAACATACGAGGTTATTTATTGACCCGGACGACTGACGTAATGATGACAGATGATCGCGCTATATTCAGGCTATCGAAATGAGTCTCCAAGTCAGAGGTGAAATAAAAAAAACAACAAAAATACAAAAAATAAAATAAAATAAAATAAAAATAAAAATTTAAAAAAACGAAATAACCCACTTTAGGAAATTAGTTTTTTTAAAGAAAAAGATACCACGACAACAGTGGAATGTAATTGTGTCTCAATTTATATAGCTCAAACGTTTGACACTGAACTTTTAGTTGATGTATGTATTATCAAAAGTCAATCTATGCTCAGAAGTAACAAAAGCAATTTGATGTAATAATGGCCATGGTATGAAATATAGTATGTAATATAGTATGTAATAAATACAATAACATGTTGAAATGGTTACGACTGACTGGCTCCAGGGAAAAAACCGGTAAAACTTGACTTTAATGAGTACCAACATTGAGATATTCATCATGTTGACTTTCCTATTGACTGGCAATACAACTTGAAACTCTGAGAACTAAATGTTATAACTGGTCGTATGCTGTCGCTAAATAATCTGTGATAAGGAACAAGAAGATTTGCTTCATGATTTTAGGAGGCTCATAAAAACAATCCGGTAAATCCGGCTTAGGACTTAATAATTCATGAAGGAAACACAATAGAAATCATGACCGTGAAGCAGGTTTTATATCTGATAAAGATTCGTCTTCATTTGCATAAACTT